GACTTGGTGTTGGGAGATTTGGCTCGCTCTGTGTTCAAGGGTTCTAATTACACCTAGCTTGTGTTGCAGTGGGTGATTGGAGTTGAAATGCAAATACTGATCTGTGTGCGTGGGTTTTCTGTAGACCTCAACCTTAAGGGTTCTGTCGCAATCCAAAAAGGCCAGTGCGTTGTCTTTTGCGTCTTCTCTGGTGAATTTGATGCTGTCGTCTAGATTATTTATGTGTTCGGTGAATCCCTCAACTTCCGTTGTTTTGATTTTGACAAAGGTGTCATCCACATATCTAAACCAATGGCTTGGTGGGGAACCTTTGTATGAAGACATTGCCAAATTTTCAAATTTGGCAATGGTTGTTTTTTTTGGCTAAAATCACTTTACTATACATGGTCGTTTTTTCGGCTGTAAAAACGCCTTACTATATATACATGGTAGTTTTTTTGGGCTAAAAACGCCTTACTATACATAGTCATTTTTTTCGGCGGAAAACGCCTTGCTATACATGGTCGTTTTTTTTCATCTGAAAACGCCTTACTAAACATGGTGTTTTTTTTCGGCTAAAAACGCCTAACTATACATGGTCGTTTTTTCGGCTAAAAACGCCTTACTATATATGGTCATTTTTTTGGGCTAAAAACACCTAACTATACATGGTGGCTGTTTGGGCTGTAAAATCGCCTTACTAGACATGGTTGTTTTTTTCGGGTAAAATCACCTTACTATACATGGTCATTTTTTCTGGCTGTAAAAACGGCTTACTATACATGGTCGTTTTTTTGGGCTAAAAACGCCTTACTATACATAGTCATTTTTTTCGGCGGCTAAAAACGCCTTCGTGTACATGGTCGTTTTTTTTCGGCTAAAAACGCCTTACTATACATGGTCTTTTTTTTGGGCTAAAAACGCCTTACTATACATAGTGATTTTGTTCGGCGGCTAAAATCACCTTACTATACATGGTCGTTTTTTTCGGCTTAAAAACGCCTTGCTATACATGGTCGTTTTTTCGGGTGAAAACGCCTTACGATACATGGTCGTTTTTTTCAGCTAAAAACGCCTTGCTATACATGGTCGTTTTTTTCGGCTAAAAACGCCTTGCAATACGTGGTCGTTTTTTTTCATCTAAAAATGCATCACTATATATGGGCGTTTTTTTCAGGTTAAAAGGCGGTACTATACATGGTCGTTTTTTTTCCTCTAAAAACGCCTTACTATACATGGTCGTTTTTTTGGGCGAAAAACGCCTTACTATACATGGTCGTTTTTTCGGCTGTAAAAACACCTTACTATACATGGTGGTTTTATTGGGCTAAAAACGCCTTACTATACATGGTCGTTTTTTCGGCGAAAAACACCTTACTATACATGGTGGTTTTATTGGGCTAAAAACGCCTTACTATACATGGTCGTTTTTTTTCGTCTAAAAACTCCTTACTATACATGGTGTTTTTTTTCAGCTAAAATTGCCTTACTATACATGGTCGTTTTTTTTCGAGTTAAAACGCCTTTCTATACATGGTCGGTTTTTTCGGGTTAAAACGCCTTACTATACATCACCGGCCCGCAAGTAGGTTTGATCAGGCCCGCAGGATAATTTAAAAGTGAAAAAATGCACAAAAGACACGGAATGAATATTTTTAATAAGATGCAATTCATGGAATATCCGCTAGGAAGACACATTGTTTTGATCAGAGGAAAAGACAACATTGTTTTGGTCAAAGAAGAAGACAACAGCAGCTTCAATCTGTCACTGAGACAGACCCAACACAGCAGACGCTGTCAAGGACATGTGAATTCATCTATTCTTTACACATATTATAGCACTCTCCTTAGTTTGTAATGTGTAGGCAGGGATTACATTTCGATTTTATATGCTTGTGTAAATGGTTTAAAAATTCCTGTCTTTATAAATCTCGTTTAATCTTAAAAGTGCATTACTATATTTTCAAGACCAATTGTTAAGGTTTTGTGCCTTTGTACAGTTAGTGGGATCAGTGGCAATGCATATACTGTATGTGAATGATAAAAGTAAATTGCACATTTGTCTAAGAAAATCTTAGGTACTTCATGAAATGTTTTGTAAAAGATATGTTCATTAAAATTCAACATTTTTCGAGTGTTCTTGTGCATCTTTAGACCAAAAAAAGGAAAGACATATTATTTGGGTTATTTATAGCAGAGTATGGTATAATTTTTAATGGTCCAGCCCACTTGACATCTACCGAGGCCGTATGTGGCCCACAATGTGAAATGAGTTTGACACCCCTGGCCAAGAAAGCAAAATGACAAAACGACACGATCTCTTTGTGCAACTCGTCTTCAATCGAAAACGAAGTTTGTGTTGCAAACTATCTCCTGATCTCAGGATGGCATTCTGAAGGCAGGCAGTAGGATATACTGGCGTGGTCGACGGGCTATGGGTGAGGTTGGAGTGCCGTCACATCGCCCATGAGAGACGCCAACCGTCTCACCAATTATGTTCTTTTTTTTTAACCTTCAAAACCTCGTGTGGTCGGCTGCCTTTGACTACATATAAAAATTTCGAAATTTTCGCAGCAGAATGGCCAAATGGTAAAAAGACCTCGCGTGGTGATCAGGCCAACCGAGCTGGTAAGAAGTCTTATTTCAACAAGCCTCTTTACATTATTCAGAGTTAAAGGAAGATTGTTCTTGGGTCCTCCGTGCCACAAGAGGGAGTAACTTGCTCATCGCCAGAGTCCACCTACGAGCACAGACCTGCAGGCAACACTTTTTGCTCTTCTTCCTGTTATTCGCAAGGTGCTGAAGTCAATCTTTGGGGCAGCCTGAAAAGTAGGAGACTTTTACCCTCGTTCAATGCACCATCATGACTACTTTCTTGACTTTTTTTTTTTTTTGATCTGCTTCCTGCTCTCGAAAGACCCAACAGTTTATCGCCCTGGTAAGTTTCATGCCCAACACATCGTTGCCTGCACAAGAAATTGACTTGCGTGTAACTCAGCCTTGCCTTTCCCCTCAGGTCAACACACCTGTCCCACATTCTTCTCAAGAGCCGACCACTTCGTCGCCCAGCAACAAGCAGACTGCCATCAAACTTGCAACTTTTTCCTCTGCTTTTGTGATTGTCTACTCTGCAAAAGAAATAAAGCTTGATTACAAAGAACACTTCAACTCAACTTCATTTTTAAACACATCACCACAATCTAACTTTAAAAAAATATATATATTTGAAAAAAAAAAAATATTTTCTATTTTTTTCTAAACTTTTTTCTGAATTTTTTCCAAACATTTTTTTCCCCCAATTTTTTTTTCCTGGACTTTTTTTTTTCCACGCAGAAAAATCCTGGAAAGTGGGAGTAGCCTGGCTGGATTGATGGCTGATGATTCGCTGATAGCCGTGAAAGTGGGTGGAGCATGACGATAACATGCTGTGATTGGTGGAAAGGGGGAGTGGTTATGCATATTAGGCGTTCTCTGATTGGTGGGCTCTTTAGGGCCGTGGTTATGCAAAAGTAAGCAATCTGATTGGTCAGAACTCGGAAAGTGGGCTTGGTTATGCAAATTAGGGTTGTGGTTATGCAAATGAGGGGCCTCACCGCGATTGGTGGATGTCAAATTGGGTGTGGTTTGGGGCGGGCATTGCAGCACTTTTTCAAAGTCCCACTTGAGTCTTGAGCTCAGACTTGCACTTGGGTCACATCAGACAGTCTTTTCACTGTTCCCATCGGTTTCACATGACCCAAAAGCTCGATTCCTAGAGTTTCGAGTCATGTGGAGACCAACGGGAACAGTGAAAAGACT